CAGGCTACAAATAAAGGTTATGATCACAATTTTACAGACAAAATTTCCACAACTATATGTGGAAGAGTGCTCACGTGTGCACACACGCAGGCACACACACACTTGGAGTGTGTGTGAGGCTGCACGTGTAGTGTAGACTCATACATATACATGGATCACTAAAAAAATTCTGAAAGTAAACATATCAAAATAATAGTGATTATCTCAAGTCATTTTTACTTACACATATTTATTGTTTTGTTTTTTTCCAAAAGTTCCACAGCGAAGATTCATTACCTTTATAATATGGAAATTCAATAAATGTTATTTATAAAATGAATCTAGGCTGGCTCTAATAGTAAAAGAACTTATATACTCTGGTGAATGAAAGTGAAAACATACTTGAGGAGCGTACCCCCATCAAGGCTGGGGATCCAGCCACCTGTTCCTAAGGCCTCGCCACGGAATGACCAGACAGGACCATGAACTTCTGAAACCTGACAGCGTGTGAGGCTGTACTTCTCTGCGGAGTAAACCTGCTGGCCCAGCGCTGGGAACCACTCCGGTGTTCCACACAATAGTGCAAGGGTGGCCCAGCTGATTTTCTTTTTATTTCCAGGAGGGAAATTCAAGTTTATGGTTAACATTTTATTAATTGAAATTTTTCCTCCTACAACATTTTCGGAAATATTTGATGCTTGGAGTTACTCTGATACATTAGATTCTAATATGAGACTGTATCAGATTTAGTCTTGGTTACATATTTAACTATCTTAAGTTTAATACATGCCATGTCAGCATGCGCGGGTTCTCAAAAGGATGAGAACTATGGCAGTCTGGGTGTCTGTTTTTCGCAAGTTCTCCAGGTGATTCTGAAACATGCCAGCTCCAGATCCACTGTTGTTTCCTGTTCTAAAGTAGCGGGTCTCAAACTTCTTTGTAATTACAATCACTTGTGCAGATTTTAAATGCCCCAATAACAAGACTGCATCCCAGACCACTAAACTCAGAATCTGTATTTTCCAGGTAATTCCAATGTGCAGTCAGGTTACAATGAATGAAATCTGATACCCAGGTGCTGCAGCCCCCATGGCTGAGAAACAGCTTTGGTCAAGGACCTGAGTCTGAAGATTTTGTGTTCTCTGTCTCCATCTGCTGGCCATGCACTATATTGCCATAATTTCCCTACACAGTTGGGGTATCCCAGACGTGCTGCTGCTTGCATTTTTCAGAACGTTTGCCAAAAGAATCAAAGAGAATCAAAAAGAAATAAAACTTGTAAATAATACAAATAAGAATATACAAAATGTATTCTTGTATGTAATAGAATAGTCTAAGAGTTATAAACACATTAGGATAATGGGACTAAATTGTTTTCTAGGCTTGGTAAATAAAAAGTAGACAATGGGCCCTGGCTGGTTTGGCTCAGAGGTTGGAGCGTTGGCCTGTGGTCCAGAGAGACCCGGATTTGGTTCCCACTAAGGGCATGTACCTCGGTTGCAGTTTGTCCCCAGCCCTGGTTGGTCGTGCGGGTGGCAGCCACTCGATGTGTCCCTTTCACCTCGATGTTTCTCTCTCTCTCTCACTCTCTTTCCCTCCCACTTTATCCAAACAAAAAATGGAAAAATGTCCTAAGGTGAGGATTAAAAAAAAAAAAAGTAGCCAATGGATGTTAGTTATTACCATCTTACTTAGGCATAAGATAGACCCCATCTTTTGAGTACCAGTGAGCCATTCTGAATGAATAATTCAGAATAGACTTTTGGGGGGAGTATACTGTTCAATGAATTTTGTCATGAATAGATTTATACAACCACCACCAAAGTAACCAGGATTCCAGGCAGTTCCGTCATTCCCCCAAAACACCCTCATGCTTCCCTGCAGTTGAATCCTTCCCCTACATCAGTTCTTAGCAACCAGTGATCTACTTTTCGTTCCTATAATTTTGCCTTTTCCGTATGTCATATAAAGGGAGTCATACAGTACGGAGCCTCTTGGAAGTGGCTTCCTTCACTCTGCATACCTTTCTTCTTTCTGCTTGCGATACATATGTTTTATTTTTCCAGTTTCTTAAGTTTGAAGTTGAAATGGTTGTCAGTGTCCTTGTGGCCATGCTGCCCTGTGCAGCAGGGTCCTCTCTCCAGGTGATCCCAAAGCTGCGAGTCCATCCAAGAGCCACGTCTCATTAGTCCTCACCTCCTCACACATGGTCACAGCATGTTCTGGTCAGCAATAGGAGACTACCTCTCTCATCACAGGGCTCAGAAGTACTGTGACATACTGGCTACAGACAGGTAGAAAGCCAGTTCCTCCACCTCTGTCTCTGACACGGGCACGACAGCCTTACTGGCAAGTTGTTCCCACGGGGTTCATGCAAACTAACTCACAGGAGAGCACTGGCTGAGCCTGTCAGACCAGTCAGGTGGCTCTGCCAGGTGTCCCTGAGCCCGAGAGAGTGAGGAGCAGCCTGGGACAGACTCATCCTGAAGGAAAGACAAGACTGGACTAGAAGTATTCAGCTCAGTGACAAGATTATGGTTGCCAGGGGAGATGGGGATCCATCTGGCTAGGGGAGTATAACCTAGATTTGTTCCCAGTCCCTATAGCCTATGTTTGAGCCAGTGGGGCCATAGGCACAAGGAAAAAACAACAACAACATGAAACATTGAGCCTCTGGTTTCTCTTTTCTCACTTGAATCCACCCGAGATTAATGGGCAGCTATTACCTGTGATGTCTCCGGCCTTCGGGAGTCTCTGGTTCCACACCTAGAGAAGAGGGCCACGAAGAGACACCCAGTCTACGTTGCTGTTTGAAGCCTTGGTTCTGTGAAGGTGACGCAGGGGCCGAGGGAGGATGGCCTGCCTCGCACCTACTGGGCTGGGCCAGAGTGTGTGTCTAGAAGCGTAAGCCCTCGGGCACCTGGCCGAGGGTAACCCCCCGGTGTGTGCCGCTCCCTCAGAGGGGCTCTTTGCACCAATAGCAACAGCCTTCCCCCCTCAGCAGACAAGTCCACTCAAAATTAAAGGCTGCCACGTGAGCACATAAAGGAAAGAGGGGTGAGGAGAGCACCTTACCCATGCCCAGAACTTCTGGGGCATCACATCAATGCCAAGCCAACAATTTCGTCTTACTGAGTCTCTCTCCATTTCTTCCTTCGAGCTCCTGGGCCCCTCCCTCCACCTGGGCAGCCGGCTTTCATCTAGGCCCCTTGGTCACAGCCGGGCCCTCAGGAGAACTTCTCCCTGCTCCCGAGGCTGCACGGCCCCAGCAGGCAAGGAACCTGCGCTGTCATAACCCTCTTCCATCCACCTTATGAGAAGAGACTTTAAAAATCTCTGATCACAGCCCTGGCCGGTTTGGCTCAGCGGTTGGAACGTCAGCCTGTGGACCAGAGTCCCGGGTTCGGTGTCCACTAGGGACACGTACAAAAAGAAAAGAAAAGAAAAAATCTCTGATCACAGACAGCCATCTACCCCGTGTTCACCCCGGAGCTACTTCCTGTGGGAGTTCCACAACCAAGGCATAACCAGAGAAAACCCAACTTCTAATCAGACCCAACCTGATCTGGTGAGGAGAATGGGAGATGCAGGGCTGTCACTGCCGAAGGTCGAAGAACGTGGATCTGATCAGTGCCGAATCTCCATTCTGCGCTGTTGGCGAGGGGGGACTCCCGCATCCCTCTGCGACTTGGACATGACTCCTATCGCCTAGTTCACATAATCTTTAAAAATTCGTTTCTTTTTTTTTTTTTTTTTTTTATGTGTTTGCTATGTATTTCTCTAAGCCCTTTCCTATACTTTTACACACACACAAATGTGTATATACCAATATGTCCCTTTTCTGCAGAAATAAAGTCATATTGTATGTATTGTTTTTGCTTTATTTACTTAACATTATGTTTTGGAGAGATTTCTATATTAGTACCCCCCCCCCCAAATAACCCCAAACAACCACTATCTAATATTCCATTATATCAATGGTTCATAATTTATTTAACCAAATTTCAATTGTTGACCATTTAGGTGGTTTCTGTATCAGCAACAATTTGCTGTTATATGCATTATATACTTTGCATGTGCTTCTTTGTTTACGTATGTCAGTATTTCCCCCAGAATAGATGCCTAAACATGGAAACACAAAGGATGTGTTTACCGTGGAGTTGGAAGATATTGCCAAACTGTCCTCCAAAACGACCGCCTGTTTACACTTCCTCCTGCAGTGACCGTTCCGCACACATGACCTGATGCATTTGTAATCTTGCTTCCCCAAGTTAAGATTTCAATGGAGTATTTCAAACTGTATATTCCCATACTTTCTGTGGGGGTGTACCCCAGTTGGGAAGGTAGGGCAAAGAACTCTCACCACAATTACAAAAAAATTTTTAATTTGTGGAAATTATATAAGAGAATATAATCTAGTGGTGGCTACTCTAGCACTTGGAGTTTCCAGTCTGAAGCAAAGGGTCATTCTGGCCTATAACAGTTTTGCTGACCTTTTGTACCATCTTTTCTTGGTTCTCTCCAAATAGACCTCAAGCCTTAGCAAGTCGCATCACTTCTGTGCCTCTGTTTCCTCATCTGTAAAATGGGAGGTACGAGTCCCTACTTCCTAAGAGTGTTAAAATCCTTGTTGAAAATATTGAGATTGTATCCTCAGAGCATTTAGCCCATACAGTCCTCAGTAACTGCTCATTCTTATTTTGTTTGGAAATGGTAGTTTGTCCCTATTAATAATACCAGGTAATTCCATTCACACCAAATCAAATTAAAACACAAATAATCTGTCTTTTTTAAAAAAAAATTATTATTATGAAAACACACAGAATCAACTGCATTTCCCATGTATCCACAATAGCAGAGAAACAGTGATGGTGGACTGTCCCCATGGGGGACGTGCGTCCTTTGGCAAAACCGACATACATTATGGAAATAACACCAAATACAATAACATAGCACATCATAAAGATTAAATTGAGCACAGGAACGGGGACGACCGAGAGGAGCTGTGAGCGTGGGGGAGGGGGATGCATCTCACTGAGAAGCGTTGGGCTCAGGTGACCTTCCCTGGACACCTCCTGCCCCTGTGCCTGGAGCGGCTCAGTTCAGTTCCAGGTCATTCATGTAGTCCTGGACCCAGGGCTCACTGGGATTGGCGCAGACCTGTCTGCCCCGTTTGGTTTGGAATCTGTGGAGCAAGGAGCGAGTAGATGGATTAGAGTCGCATGGGACCTTGTCTGTGGTGGACACCGCCCTGTGTTCACGCCGGACAGCTCTAGTGGGTGGGAAGGCCTTTCTGGGTGGTACTGGAAATGGACGCCTTGCAACTTCCACCCCCGATTTAGCTGTGGCCTCAAGGTTGCCCAGATTAGGAACCAAGGAGTTTGACCATCAATATGGCTATATCTCCCCATTCATTCCCTAGTGCCCCTAGCAATAACTTTTCCACGCATGGCTAAGAAATTAGCCCACATTTCCTTTGCTCTTTTTTACTTTCCCTGGTTTCCTAGCCTCTGGCTAATTTCCTCCCCAGAAACCCCCCATCTCAGGACTCACGGGGTGACTTCATAACTTGTTTCTTACTGCTGTCTGGGAGGGCTTCCTGTCCCCCTACTGTTTGATCCTCCTCCTGCCCCAAACAGGCCCCTGATCTACTCCTGCCCTTGCCTCCCAGAGCAGCCCAGAGGTGGCTACTTACACCACTGCCGGCTGGGAGCAAAGGCTGCTGGTCTCGTAGTAATCCACCGCGAAGTCGCGAGGAAGTGTCCGTGGGATGTAGGAGAAGCAGCAGGCGATGGGAGGGTCTGAGCCCACTAGAAAGAAGGGTGAAGTGAGACCAGAGCTCTACAGGAAGCTGCTCTCTGGCTTGTAGTTATGGATATTCAAGGGGCCTCTCTGTGGAGCTACCAGATCCCCAAACATGGTCCTTTGTATCCAATCCCACCCACCCTACATGGGAGTCTTCTGTGGAATACAGGATCCTAAGAGATCATGGAGCTGGATTGGGTCTCAGAGCACACGTCTAACTCCCTTCATTTAATAGGTGGGAAAACCAAGGCACACAGAGAGAGAGGGAACTTCTTTTTTTTTTTTCCCTTTATTGATTTTAGAGAGAGAGAAAGTGAGAGGGAGAGAGAGATTGAAACATTGATGAGAGAGAACATTGACTGGCCACCTCCTGCATGCCCCTCACTGGGGATCGGGCCCACAACCTGGGCATGTGCCCTGACCGAAATCGAACCGGCGACCTCTTGGTGCATGGGTCAATGCTCAACCATTGAGCAACACCGGCCAGGCAAGATTACTATTTCTTAAGCAAACAGGAACTTGAATATTACCGAATGTCTAGTAGACACTACATTTAACAGCAGGCTACTTAAAAATCCTCCCAGCTCCCTTTTGTCCCATCCCCAGATGCCACTGTTGGACCAGCCCCAGCTAGGACAGTGGGCTCTGCCTACACCACGGCTCCGAAGTAGTAGCTGAAACAACAAACTTACTTGGTGCTGAGAGCGCTGGGCAGCAGAAGGCAGCCACCAGCACGAGGAGAGAGAGAACAGTCACGCAGAGCCTCATGGTCTTGGCGGAGAAGAGGCTTTCCCAGAGCTGAGACGACAGAACCCAGAAGCTTCAGAACCCGACTGTGTTCTGTGCTGATACAGAGCTGGGCTGCCCTCCTTATAGGCACCCTGAGGCCTGGGACAGAGGTGGGAGCACAGGGGGGCAAGTGGAATTTCCAGGGTCGAGATGATGTCATGGTGTCAATGAGCAAACTGACACCAGCTGAGAGTGAGGAGCTCTCTTCCCCAGGGCTATGTCATGACAGTGGAGAGGAGGAGAAGGCACAGGGGAGAAGTGGGCTGCACCCCAGGGGGAAGTGGTACACCAAAGGCAGTCACCGAGACGAGACGGAGGAGAGAATCGCAAACCCAAGAGGAAGGATGCAACATTCACACCTGCCAGAAGGAGCTTGTAGACGAGAACCATGATGCTCTAGGTGGCTGGCACCTTCAGAAGCTGGAGGCTTCACGTCAGTCTTTCCGGGGTTGCAACAAGCCTGGTCCCAAAAAGGAAGGGGGAGTCAGGATTCCACATCACATTCTGGGGCCTCTCTTCTGCTGGGTTGAGTGACCTTAGTGCCCTAGATGTTTCCTTGGGCACAAAGAATCCAGCATAGAATGTGCAGAAGGACCCAGCAGGACAATAATCTACTTACTGAACATTTACTATGTGCCAGGCACTGGGCAAGCTGCCTTCTACACATAACATCAACGCCTACCCTGGCCCTGAGCGGGGGTGTCATTATTCCCCTGAAGTAATAAGGAGGAAGAACAGGAGAATTCACTGATCATCTCAAGGCCGCAATCTTAAGTGGCAAGATTTCAAATGAGATTCTTCTGACTCTAAAGTCTATTTCCTTTTTAACCCGTTGTCACACATATAGAATGTGGTCACAAAGAAACTGCTGACCACAAAGAACCATCGTATTAGGGCTGAACTCCGGAGGGGAGTTTGGGTCAGTCTGTCCTCGAACAAGGAGGGAACAGAAGGGAACAGAAATAAAAGTTTCAATATGTTCACTTGGACCCATAATAGAAAAGGACAAAGAAATCAGTAAGAATCAAGTTTGGAAGACCCATATAGAGAATATTTCTGTGTAATTTATGAAGCGATTCCCCCAATATATCTAGCACCCATCTGACATCATGTATAGTTATCACAATATTATTGACTGTATTCTCTAAGCTATACTTTACATCCCTGGGACTATTTCGTAACTGCCAATTTGTACTCCTCATCCCTTCACCCTTTTTACCTTTGTAAATTTTATAAATGTCTAACCACTATGTAAATATAAATTAATATTGAATGTCAACCGTAATTGAAAAAGATAAAAAGAAAAACAATAATAATGTTCCTCTAGTATAACAATGGGATTGGCTATACCTAGCAATGGGTTCATCTATGTTATAGATAAAACGTGTCATCTAAGCACGGGGTGTTTCCCAGCCATCCGCGGGGAATTTCCTGTGTTTGTATAAAGTCTAGCAGCCGTTTCCTGGGAGGGCTTCAGCCTGAGACCCGAAGCTGACAGGAAGGGGACTAGGTGAGGCTCACCAAGGCCAGGAACACAGTGATACATGCAGAGGGCAATGAGGGCACTTAGGACTGGGTCAAGCTCTCCATCCCCCTTCAGCTCAAGCACTGTGACCTACCCTCTCGCCCCGGGCCCGCATTGCTACATCCTTCTGCTCTGAGAAAGGACAGAGAGTGAAAACAGAAAACAGGCCCCCTGGGTGCTGCAGAGATCTGGGACAGGAGGGAGCACAGCAGCATCTTGGGGTACTTCACAGACCCTAAATAAAGCACAATGTCACCCTACCTCTTATCACTGCCTCCACCACCACCACCTACACGCCTGCCCCCTACACACTTACAAACTGTACTTTTTTCTCCCCCCTTTTCTGACCTCACTCTTTCCTTTGGGCGAGTCTTGCTTCAAAGCTCTGAGCTTCACCAAGACCCCCATCCCCAGCTCTCGTGTTCTCTGCTCCCTGATATCACCATGCTGGTCTCTCACATGGTCTCTCCTGGTTGGTGGCATTTCATCTTCACGTATCGCGGATCTCACTTTAAGGGACAGAGGGTGTGTCTTGTGTCCCCTGGGATTTACGCAGACTTTGTCCTCTGTGCCCTTTCCACTCAACCCAGTTTAGAAGCCATCTGCTTTTTGTCAGGGAAGACAGAGCACACCGAAGCCCCTCTCCTGTCCCCAAAGAGCCCTTCGTCTAGTAATGCTGTCGACAGTGAAAGAAATAACTATCCCATGAGATGGAATAAAGTAAGCGTCACATCAGAGATAGAAGCAAAATGTCACAGCATCCCTCAGCTGTGGACCCATAGTTCCAAATCAAGCCTAACTCCCTGTGTGCTAAGGAGGAGCCCTTGACGCGGAGACCTCCATCTAACTGAGTGGGCTGTGCTGACCTTCAGGCTGCGAAGGGATTTTGAAGACATCTGCTCTGGGTGGCGCGTTAGGAGAATGACAACAGATAGTGGGTGATGAGTCTGCTTGGCGCCACACAATGAGTTTGACTGTTGACTTTTGCTTCCTAGCTTTGATTTGATCTTTGGCTTATGGAGGAAAAATGTTTTGTTCGTGAAGGTCTCTCAGAAGAGACTGCAGAGCTGCTGAGGAGCAGAAACAGAGGTGGCTGATCTTGACCTTCTGTGTTCCCCCAGAAACAGTGGCCTAGATGCATGAGTGTTGGGGAGAACATTGGGGGTTGGGGCCGAGAGCACTAGCCACGAGGAGGTGGAATGCCTAGAACCAGAGAATTCCTTGCAAGCAACTCCCGAGACTGGAAATCCAAGGCGAGCTGGAACACATGGTCGTTTGGCCAAGATAATAAACCAGGAAGAGGCAAATCCTTTGGTTTTGCCAATATGGCAGCCAAGTCAGTTGGGGGAAATGAGACCGTAGACTGAAGAAATGCATACACAACTGTCCAAAGTGCAGGGTTCAGGGTGGAGTCCAGAGGACAGCGAGCTGGTTGGAGCGGTTCATGGGGGTGGCCACACTCCCCCTCAGCCAGCCCGCTCTTGTCGCAGTGGAAGGGCCTTCGGCACCCACCCAGCCTGACTTCAGGGGATGTTCAATTCCTGAGAGAAGCTTCGAGTCTCCCCAGTATTTGACGGGTTCAAGCAAAGCTTCAGTATTCATGAAGCGTCTTACTTCCTTCAAATAGTGCTTTTATACCTGTTTCTAGCTCTTTCCAGGCTGGAGTACCAGCAAGAGAGGAAGATAATTCCATAAAACTGTCCTGAGTACCTGCTACACGACAGGCACTACGTCGGGCATAGAGGATACACGCTTTGGAGAGCGGTGGTGAAGTGTTAAGGCAATCTTCCCCAAAATGTGACATCTGATCTTTATAAAAGTTTATATTAGTTTGCTTAGTTTTCAATAGAAAATATACATGTTCACTGGTACAAAATTTAGAAAATATAGGCAGTCATAAATAAGAAAACAAAAATTGCCCAGCATTCTGCACATAGTTTTGCATTTTACTATTGTTACTCAATAGTCTTTCTTGAACTAGTACATCTTACTATTGTTACTTTATATCCTTCCCTGTCATTAAAAACTCAAAACTTATTTAAAATGAGCATGCATGATATTTCAGAAAATGTTATACCAAGATTTATATTGAACTATTCTTACTTAGGTCTGTCCATTCAGGTTGTTTTAACTTTTCTCTATTATAAATTGAGCTGGAACCTGAAGGATGATTAGCCAGGAAAAGAGTGTGGGGTGGGGTTACTCAGGCAAAGAACAAGAGGTCTGCACTTTTTAAAATGTATGAAATAGATGGATTGAAATATTCAGTAATAATGATAATAGTAACTGCCACATAACATTTACTATGAGCCAGTGATACTCTAATTCTTTTATAAATGCTAATGCATTTCATCCTATTAGTATTATCCACAGCACACATTAGGGAACTGCAGCACAGACAGGTTAAGTAACCTATGGAATAGCACACAGCTATTACGTCATAGATTTGGAAATGACACCAGAGGTCTGGCTCCAGAGCGTAACTAAATCAGAAAAAAAAAAAAAAGTGCTTATTATAAATTTATGTTAAAAGCTTAACAGCCAAAGTTTTATAATTATGATATAAAATGTCTTTCAGTTTCACATTTTGCATGTCTTTGAACAGTAGAATCCATGGGTTTCTCTCTTTTCTTCAGAAAATTAAGAGAATTAAATAGTGGTTTTCCTTATCTGTTCTAAATATTAATCTCTGCAGGGATTATGGGATGCACCCATGCTTATAGTAATTCACTCTGCCCTGTGATGTACAAGAAGGAAAAAATGTGCCTTGCCAAGTTGACACCTCATCCATAAAAAGCAGAAAAGAGACCTGCACTTTTAAGGAATTACATGGCATGCAGAGGGCTGAGTCTTGGTTTCCAGGAAGTTTGAAGGTAGCAAGAGACTTGGCCAACAAGGAAGGCAGAGGCCAGGTCAGAGAGAAGCTTCCATTTCATGCTGGAAACGATGCAGAGTATTCGAAGGATTTTCAACAGAAAGAGAGACTGAATTGCACTTTGGCAAAATCTCTGGGTGCTGTGTGACGATGGGACAGCTCTGAGAGGCGAACCGGAAGAAAGGCCAGTTGCTAGGACACTCACAGCTGCCATGCTGAGAAATGGGGAGGGCCTGACCCAACAGCGGTGGCGGGGATGGCAAGAAGCAGATACACCTCGTTTCAAAATGCAATCGAGTTGGTGACTGAATACAGTAGTCCCCCCTTATCTGCGAGGGATACGTTCCAAGACCCCCAGTAGATGCCTAAAGCCTCGGACAGTTCTGAGCCCTGCATATGCTGTGTTCTTTCCTACACCACACGCACACCTTTCACTTCAGCTTAAAGGGAGCACTTGATGCTTCTCTTTGGCATATCCCAGTCGCCAGCATCACTGCTCTGCACTTCGGAGTCATCATTAAGTAAAACAAGTGTTACTTGAACACAAGCACTGTGATACCAACAGTCGATCTGATAACCCAGATGGCTACTAAGTGACTAACTGGCAGCTAGTGTGTGCAGCACGAGACACTGGA